CCAAATCTTTAAATAAATTTATTTTAAAGAATTTTAATTTTAATTTAATAATTTTACAATTATTAAAATTATAAAAGTCTGCTTTATAAGTTTACTTAAAAGTTTAAAAATAGTTAAAATAATAAAAATATTTTTAAATACAAAATAAAAAAAGTATAATTAAAGTTATATGACAAGTAATTTACATATATGATATCTTTAAATATAGTTTTTAGTAATAATAATTTATATTGATCTTTTTAATAAATAATATATTAATAATTAAAAAATATAAAAAAGTTTTTTAAATTTTATTATATAAAACTATAAGATACTAATTAACAATATAACTTTTTATAATAATGCTTACTTTATTTTTAAAAAATATATATTATATGATATGTATAAAGTTTTATAAACTAATTAAATTAAATTTTTATTATACTTATTATAATGTAATCTATATATAATATAAATTTTATTTTATTTTATTTATTAAGACTGATGTTAACAGTAACTAATATCTTTATTTGTGTTTTTAGTTAATATATTATATATTATTTATATAGAGTAAGTGTACAACTAGTCACATATATATCTTTAGTTACCTATTTAAGTAAGGGTTCTATACTAGCTACTATATCTATAATTTACTAAAAAACTATCTAATTAAATATTCTAGTTTCTATACTACACTTATGCAATTAGTTATCTTGATTTTCATATATCTAAGTACTATCTAATTTAATATTATGTTTTTCTTTCTGTATATCTGTTAAGCTATTATCTAATTTTAGAGTATACTACCTGATTTTAGAACTCAAAGTGTCCTTCTGTTAACTAACCTACTCACTTTATAGATTATTAATAAGGCTTGCCTTTGCAGAATTCATTTAAACTTTAGTATTTACTTCACAGCATATTTTTAGTACTTTTAGTATAGCTTTGTCTTTTTTTCAAACTTTTAATTCAGATAGTCCAGTAGAACTACAACTAGTTTATTAATATATCTGATTAATATAATATTTTTTTTCTTTAGTTTTTTTAGTTAGAATTCTAACAGCCTGATTAGTGATATCTTTTATTCAGAGATGTTTGCTTAATTGAATACTCTATATTAGTATCTGTTCTCTAGATCTAAACTTTATAATAGTACTATCAATAATCTGTATTATTTTTTTATTTAAATCTTTTCAAATAGGCTTTTTGTTTTCTAATCTATATATAATATAGAATAGATAGATAAACATTATGAGATAAATCTTATTAGATAAACACTATAAGATAAACACTAGGAGACAAAAATCAATTCTGATTGGTCAGTTTTATGCTGATCATAATGCATAACTGTAATTAATGTTACATACCAGAATTGGTATTACAGTTATTACATTACATATGATATATGATTGATCATCATATTTAGGTTCTAAGTAATTGGTTATTTGAAAAGTAAGAGAAATCTTACTATTTTTACTTTTATTACTTTATTAATTGGGTAGATTAATGGTATATAAAACATTCAGATTTTCTTTATAATTTATCTTATAAAGTTTATTTTATAATGTTTATTTACCTATTCTATATTATATATAGATGCTTTAAAATTGGAGCAATATAATAAGTTATATTCTAGTTTTTATAGATTTATATAACTAAAAGAACTTATCTTAAGTTTGTATTGCCTAATATTAGTTTGTATTTCTTTATATAACTAGTTATATAAATACTTTATGACCTGCTAGTTATACTAATATAATTATAATTACAAGTATCTTAATTCAATTGTTAAAAACAGTTGTTATAATACAAATTTTATATAGATGATTATTCAACTTTTCATTATCAGTAAGTTTTAAACTTATAACCTACTACTTAAAAGGTTGACAACTTATTTATTTTACTAAGTTACTATATTTATAATATAAATTTAATTTATATAATTATACTAAAATTATTAGCATAATCAAATTAATTAAAAAATTATTTAACTAACTTTGTATAATATTTTATAATAATAGTAAGTTAGTTAATTTAAAATAATTAATTAATCTAAATAACTGGTTAACCTGATACAATTCATTAATCTAATATAATTACTAATTTAAAATAAATTAATTATAAACAGATCAAATATATTAAATAAGTATTTAATCAAAATTTTATAATTATTTTAAAAAATTTAACAAAAATTAATTTGTTTTAATAAACTTTTAATTTGCAATTGTTTTTATAAATTCAACAAAAATTGACTAACTAAATATTTGTAATTAAATTGGTTTTGATTTGACAATAATACATTTTAATTCAAATATAATTATATTCAAATTAAAAGTTTATCAAAAATTATTAAATTAACAAATATTTAATCAATTAATTTTTGCTAGATTTTCTAAAATTTATAAAACAGCTATAATTATATCTGAATCAAAAGTTTATTATTGTTAAATTAAAACTTATTAAATTAGCAATATTCAATTAATTAATTTTTTTTCAGATGTTACAGAATTTATAAAAATGACTTTATATAAATTACTGAAATTACAAACTTAAATGAATTGACTAAAAACTCATTTAACTAAAAATTTCAAAAATTATAATAATAGCTGTAACTAAGTTGACTCAGATAAATCAATCAACTTAGTTTGCCTGATTGATTTAGTTTACTTGGTTGACCTAGTTTACCTGATTAATTCGGTTGACTTAACTGAATTAACCGAAACACTTTCGGTTAAGCTGATTGTACCCAGTTAAGTTCGTGTCGGTTAATCGGTTGATGATTTTTAGTTCGGTTCAGATTACTAAAATTAGTCTGATCTGACCATAATTCTCATGTATCACAAGACTGAATTAGTCTGATCTTATATCGGATCGACAGATCGATTCAACGTTAACATCCCCGTGATAAAGAATTAAACAAATAGAGAAATGAGCGACATGAGGAAAAATTATCTGTTACACTAACAAACAATGATATCATAACGATAAACATTAAGAGGAAAAATTAAAAATGTTTTAAACCTAATTTCAATCGTTCTTATAATGACTGAACCTCAACGCTACGAATACTAGGCGTGCTAGTAAGGTAGTTAAAAGCCAAAAAAAATAATATTAATAAAATAAACAAAATAAATTATTCTGATGCTTCAACCGAGGATGTTCTATGACGGGGATTATCAAGACCTCAAGCCGGATTCGAACCAACACTCACAATGCAGCCCCATTGTGAGGTCTCGCCTTCACCGTTAATCCACATCAGAATACAATATAAAATTTTTTTTTATTGAAATTTTTATCGTAGTCTTTTCATATGATATCAGAAACTACCCCTGCATGACCATGCGGGAGTCTAATATTAAATATCGATATGATGTAAATCATGAATAACTCTTTTTGGCGTTTAATTCACTGAAAAAATTAGGTTGGTAGGTTTAAATTAAATTAATAAAATATTGGTTTGCCTTTTTTACACCATACAGAGTTACAATTTGAACTAATTCATTATAAAAAAACTTTCGTTAATAGACTAATTTCAAAAAAAAAAAGAATATATTATTTTTAGGGATTTATAATTTTATGATTTTTTTTTTTGTCTTGTTCTTACCCTATACTAACCTCGTCGTTTGAGTCGTCGCTTTTGGTGTTATCGTTCATGGCGTCGTTGTATTTGTGTTCTGCTACTGGAATACGGAGTTATCGTTCTTGGTGTATTGCTTTTGGAGTATGTCGTTGTCATTCTTGGTGTGTTGCTTCCGGAATACGTCGTCAATTTTGGTGTCGTAGTTTGCGTTTTCATTACTAGGGTCGTTCGTCGTTACTGGAGTCATTATCAGAGTGTTAAGTTCTTGTTGGTGCTGTTATTGTGATTTCGCTTTTTGTCTTCGTGGAATAGCTTTTTTTTTTTTGGTTTGTTTAGTCTTGCTCTGGCCTCTGTACTAATAATTGTTCTTTTTTATTAAACAGTAACAGGTAATTTCGCCGTTGGAGTCGTCGTTCTTAGTGTCATTGTATTGATGTCTTGCTGGAATGTGTCGTCGATTTTTGTGTCATAGTTTTTATCGATGTCGTTACTGGAGTCGTTATCAAGCGCTGTGTCGTTATTGTTGGTGCTGTTATTGTGATTTCACATGCCATCTTGCTGGGTCTTACTTTTTGTCTTTGTGAATCAATTGTTTTAATTGTTCTACGTTGGTGACATTATCGTTTTGGCTATTGTGGTGGTTTTGAAGGTGCCGTTTATATTATTAGTGCTTGTTATTAGTGCTTGTTATTAGTGCTTGTTATTAGTGCTTGTTATTAGTGCTTGTTATTAGTGCTTGTTCTTGGATTTGTATCGTTGTGTGTTAGTTCTGTAATTAGGGTTAGGGTTAGTAAGGTTTCGTTATATAATAACTTTATAATTCGGGTTAAAGTTAGGATCAGCAAAATGTAGTTTAGTTCTAGAGTTAGGGCTAGTGAAGTGTAATTTAGTTTTATAGTTCTGGTCAGTATTGGCAAAGCAGATCTGTAATTATGGTTAACAAAGCATTTGATTTTAATTTATATTTATTACAATATTATCTATAATACAAAAATTTAGATGTTTGTTCGGTCTCGCATCATGTGACTTATAATCGGTATGGCCCGTCGGAAATGATGCTGAAATTAACTTAATTTATTATGAAATTTTTAATTTTTTTTGTGTTTTGTTCAGCTTTTTTTTTATAATTTGGTTAGGATTTAGGATTAATGTTTATAATAAAAGAGTATAAATGCATTTTAGTAGGGTTTATATTTTCAAATTAAAGCCCAGATTTCAGCATCATCCAATTTCAGCAACATGCTGAAATCTGCCAGATTTTTCGGAATTTATGAAAAACAGCTATAATTACATATATTGATAGCGATAAATATCAAATTGATAGAGTTTTGAATAATGTGCCGCAAACGGGTACCCGGATGTTTAATGTTCTGCTGTCAAGCAATTGGGTATTACCCAATTGCTTGACGATGGAATGTTAAAAATCCCCTGCGGTTCCAATTCGGGTACCAACTACTCAAGTATAACCACCAAATATAATTTATACTCAGCATTATATGTGATTTTATTATATTAAATTATATGTATTTAAACTCCATACGTAGCTGATTTGGGTGGTTATAACGTTTGGGTACCCTTTTGCAGAACGCTAATTTTGAATTCATACGGTTTTTACCATAACCGTAATTTGCTATGCGTTGTACGGTTCATTGGAACAGTTCTGCCTGCACCTCTAGTTAAAACTCTTATCCGGATTATGGTTATTAGATTTCACAATAAACATTTTACTTCTATTTAATAAATTTTTATAAATTATTAAAAGTTTGTCTTGAAATAAATATTATTCAATTGCTCTGAATATGTGTAATAAATGATAATTAAAAAGCTTATTATTTGTTTGCATAATGATAAATTCTATCACAATTTAAGTCATTTTAAGATCCGAATTCTAATTAAGTAGATTCGAAATCTATAGGATTCCTAATCGACCTATATATTACTTTTATTTCGATTATTTTAATAATTTATACAGTACGATGAATTTTAAATATTTCCTTGTCTTCAAAATATTTTATTATTATAAAACTTCAAGATTATAGTATTTTGCAATGCGCCTCTTTAAATGTTTTTTAATTTTTAAATCAAGTTAAAATCAAAAGAGATAAAAGTAATATTTATATAAAGATCTTCTGTAAATAATCTTCATCTTCAGCATCGATCTGATTGCTGCTAATATTTAATGAAGTTAAAGTAGTATTTTTACGAACTGCATTTGCAAATGCTTCACCCCCTACGGAACCAAGTTTATTATATGAAATATCTAAGCAAGTTAGAGTAGTGTTCTTGTAAAGAGCCTTTGCTAATGCTTTTCCACCTTCGGAATTAAAGTCATTCTGAGAAACATTCAGAGAAATCAAACCGATGTTCGTGCAAAGAGCATCTCCTAATGCTTTTCCACCTTCAATACCAATTTCGTTATGAGAAATATTTAAAAAAGTCAGACTAGTGTTCTTGCAAAGGGCATCTGCCAACGCTTTTAGTCCATTTGACCTAAGAAGATTATGTTGAAGATCTAAAGAAGTCAAAGCAATGTTCACGCGAAGTGCATTTGCTAATAAGATTCCTACTTTGGCATTAAGGTGATTATAAGAAAGATCTAAAGAAGTTAGGGTAGTGTTTACGCAAAGTGCTTCTGCAAATGTCTTTCCTCCTAAAATAATATCATTTTGCCTAATATTTAAAGACATTAAGGTGGTGTTTTTATAAAGCGCCTTTGCTAATGCTATTCCACCTATCGATGAAATAGGATTGCAATCAAGAACCAAAGAAATCAAAGTGGTGTTCTTGTAAAGCGCATCCGAAAGTGCTTCTACTCCCTCAGCCGAAATATCATTATTACCGAGGTCTAAAGTAGTTAAAGCAGTGTTTATGCGGAGTGCTTCTGCTAATGCTTTTCCACCCTTATTACTAATACAATTCCCCTCAAGATGTAATGACTTAAGGGCATTATTTATATGGAGTGCCTCCGCTACTGCTTTTCCTCCTGTATCCCCAAGGTTATTGGCGGCAAGGTTTAACGAAATTAAAGTAGTGTTTGTACGGAGTGCCCTTGCCAATGCCTCTCCAATTGATCCACAACAATTGTGTGAAAGATTTAATGAAGTTAAGGTATTGTTCTTGCAAAGGGCCTCTGCCATGGAATCGGAAAGGATCTTCGATGATTCCTGGCATAATGTAGAATAATAAAGGCCTAAAGAAGTCAAAGTAGTATTGTTGGCAATGGCTTCTTTTAATGCCATCACTTCTTCAGAACTAAAATTGTTATTTTGAAATTCTAAAGTCGTGATGGTCTTGTTTCTACAAAAGTCATGGATTACTCGTTCATAAATAATCCCATAAACTTTTAAGTATTTAATATTCTTATTTGTTCGTAGAAACATTGTGATTAAAGAACATTTAAGAGCATTTATAAGCCCATTGCCAACATTTATATCGGACTCTTCAAGCCAATCCATTATTCCAATGTTTAAATGATCGCTAATAGATGTTGTATAACTTGTGTATTCGAATAATGGTCTTGGATAACTTGGAAGGTGAAATTTAAAAGGGACTAATAATGCTTGTTCTTCTGCATTTAATACCGAAAGACATGTTCTTATAAGCCTTCCATCGTTAAAGTAGATATCCATATTTCTCCACAAGATCGGTACAATGATTCTACACCAGAGACGGCTTACAAGAAGGCACGAGAATAAAAATTTAATTTGAAAATTATTGAATATTTCAAGATGGCATTCGTGAGGTAATCGTTCAAACATTTTAAAAATAGTTGAAGGTTTTTTTTTGTTTGAAAAACGTGTATATTGGATTTTTTATTTGCAAAAAAAAATTAATGTCGCGAAAGACAGATTTTCTGCGCAATCATTTGAAATCGATATGACATAATGATGCGATAATCTAGTACCCGGGAAATGGATTCAACTATCGACTAGCGTTAGTGTGTATGTGGAATTGGAAAAATTCACGGCAGATTTATTACATAAAGAAAAAAATAACAAATTCTTGGAAACAAAATATTTTATTAAAAAATGTTGCTCAATTCCCAGACATTCACTATCCTGAAACCTCATTTCCTCGACGGAGTTTCTTTAATTTCCTCAATGATACTTCAACACCTAATTCTTACCAACGCTAGCTCTAAATCTGACCAGTCAAACATTAATTTTCGAAAAATGAGTACTTCGAGTTTTGTACAATTGAACTAAAATCTCTATTTAAAATGATTTCAAATACTTAATAATATCCGGGCTTTTTTGGACTGTCACGCCGAATATTTTGATTTTCATAGCTTACAAGCCTATCCTAAAATGCCCAGAAGTTAATTTTGAACTTAAAGTAGGTCACTATATAAACTTTGCATTTTTCTATATCAAATTCTGCCCGAATATTTCTGATTGACAACACTGCCGACACACGTACCTACATACATATGTATATATCTAGAACATTCGGTACATTGCGCAATAGTTCGTTACATCATAAGAAAAGGTATACGATCTTCTAGGGTAACAAAATGAACCAGTAAATGCGATCCCCTGAAATTCGGATTTATATGATATAAGCTACTACAGTAGAAGCAGTAATAATGTTGCAATGGTTTATATCATGTGATTCGAACTTTAGAAAGGTCATACTGACTGATTTTAATAAAATTGGGAATTTTACTATACCTGCTATAAAAAAAATTGGTTTGCACATTTTTATTTAGAGTTAGAAAGCGTTATAAATTTTGTGTTAAGTTTTATAAACAATATATTAATACATTTTTTAATTTACTCTCAAAAAAGTGACGATGAATAAACCATCTAAAATGGGAAATTGTTCATCAAAAATTACTAGTCATAGTTTAAGATGTTCGTTGAGCACAGATCACATACGTATAAGTGTGCAAATCCTGCATGCATGTTGACATGCCGTAAAAACGTTACTATCACGTGAAATGTGTAACGTACCTGATTGGACGATCTTTTGTTTTTGGTTTGATGATCTTTACGTTCTTTTAAATTCGACACTGGACTTAAAACTGGAATGTAGTAGGTAGTGATGGGCAACGCGCGGGATCCCGCGCGGGATTTTTAATATGAAATTATTCAGCCCACATTAGCTTTTCATCTGGCCTACATTACATCTAGTGATGTGCCATTTATATTATGCTCGGATTTTTTTAGCGTACAGTACGTACAGTATGTATAGTACGTATAGTGGTTTTTTTTTTATACCATGGTTTCGGAATATTCCGTAATCGTTTCGGAATATTTCGGACCTTATAAATGTTATGGCCTAAGCTTCAGAGCTTATAAAATGACTGTCAAAATTTTAGCATACAGTACATACAGTACGTACAGTACAGTACGTATAGTACAGTACGTGGCACATCACTAATTACATCTAATCCGGCCTGCATTAACATAATCAGGCCAATTCCTAATTTGTTATTAATGTACATATGCACGCATTTCTCTGTAGAACCTTTTATTTATTTATCATTCCGCATAGAAAATTTAATTTCTTAAACTGTTAATATTAATAACGTAAAGAATCTAAAATTTTTAATTTTTTATATAAAAGTAATGCACCAAGAATATATTTATTATTCGTGAGAAATTAAAAAACTCTAT